TGTTTTTGAATTTGTGCCAAGGTGGAGATTGTTGATGTGTGACACAAATTCCTTTTATATTGTCCTTATCTATTTAAGTGTTTAGTAAGGACATTTTTATATACTCAATGACTTAGAGTTTTAGTATATAAACTCACTAATGACATTGATGAGAAACTATTCAATTCTTCTTTATTCTTTTTCTTTCTAAAATCTATTGAGAAAGAGAGAGTGGATTTATAATCAGGCTTGTATCCATCCTTTACCCGTGGTTTTATCCAATGTGGGTTTCCACATAAATTCTTTAAGTCACTTGTTTCATTTGATTTTCATAGATTTTAGGCATATTTCATAACAATTCAGTTCTGTGTAATTTGAGTTGGTCATTCCACTGCAAATAATGACGATTCAAAAAATATATATGGCACAGATACGAAGAAGATAAAGCCTAAACTGTATGCCTAATAAACCACAGATTCATTTAATCTCCTTAATCACAAAATCCAAAGTAGATAACAATGACAATGAAAGCAGGGGCCGAATATACCATTTTGACGCAACATTGACTATGAGTAGGACTTTTCCTTTGTATGTGCTAAGATCTACATCATGCCCACTGGCATCCTGCGAATGAAAAGATGTACAAAAATGGGTCACAGAAAACATTAGCTAAATGCAATTTGGTACATGCTTATCCATTCAACACAATAACTCTTTACCAAATTATTCAGGTCTGATACTCGCCAGAATACGTTTAGATATACAACTGCTTTACGTTTAAGGCAATCGATGAAAGAGATCATATTGATACAGCTAGTTCATTGTTATAGATTTTATATCCAAAACAGAAGCTATCTTCATCTTCCCATGATCGCACTGCCTCAGGATTGCTAATTTAGAGCTATTACTACTAAAATTGACGTCTAGAATTATCAACACATGAATAACAGCACAAGTTATAATTCAAAATTTTGAATTGTATTTTTATATATTTAATATCTGATCCAAAGGTTTTTATGTTTGATGATTTTATATTAATTTTTAATTATTGAGACAAAAAGTTATCTTGAAAAGTATTCCAACTCATTTTCACCAAAAATGTTTTTACTAAATAGCCTTGTGGTCAAAGCCTAAATGGCAAGACTTTAGTCATCTGAGTTGGTTACTCAAAGGTCTATTCGAGTCTTATTTGTGATTTACTTGACTTACTGGGTTGGTGTTTAACGGACTGTGAGAATTAGTTGAGGTACCTAAACACCCCGGTTATCAAAAAAAAAAAAAAAATAATTAGTTTATGTTTAATTCCTATTGAATACCAAGTGATATAACAACTATTATGGATCTAAAAATGATTATAATTATTATTAGAGTTAACGACTTTTTCCTACCCAAATAATGACTTAATGACACTTTCTCACCCGCAAACTTTTAAAATATCATTTTGCTATTCAAATTTATATTTCGGCGGTAAACAAAAAGCAAATTTGGTCTAAACTATTAGGGTTTTTGAAAAAGGGAGACCAATGACTCTTTCAGTAGTGGAATGTTAGATTGTGGTAGTTGTGATTGATCAAAATTTGACTTGAAAATAGTAGTTGAGCAAACCCTTATCTCTTGATTGTCGGCGATTGGGGGAGTCGGCTGGAGTAGAGTTTGAGGGGTTTTGATTAATAATGATAGGGGAAGAGAACAATGGTGGTGTGTGATTGTAACGATGTCAGAATCGGAAATAAAATATAAATTTAGATAATAAAATGGTATTTTAAAAGTTTATGGGTAAAAAATGTCATTAAGTCATTATTTGAGTGAGAAAAAGTTGTTTACTCTTATTATTATTATTATTATTATTATTATTATTATTATTAGAGGTGAAATCAATTTTTGCCTTTTGAAACTCCTTGCAAGCCTTATAAAAATATGAGACGTCGAGTATTCGGATTAAACTGAACTGCCAAGACAAATACATGTCAACTAGAATTTTCTAGAAACTAATAAAACTGCTGAGTACTGAAAAGAGGTGAGGACAGAACAGAAGCCTCAAAACTTTGACCGCACTGCAAACACAAATGTGAACACAACTGTTCTAAATATCAAGCAAGAGGCCGGCCAGTTGGAGCCCGAAAGCCCCACTGTCGCCTTCACCACACAAGACTTCTAGAATTTTAACTGTTTAAAAGACAATGACGTAATCTCTGATCCAAATATCATCCACGTGTAGACATGCCAACCAACAACCTGCAAGACCAATCGTCAGAATTTATGTCCACACTAGCCAAAGCTCAAAATTTCATACGCGATGGAAGCTATAAAATCCTCATTGCTCTCTTCCTCAACTCGCATTCTCCTGGAAAGAAATCTTAACGCAGCAACTGTATCTACTTCTCTTCTTTTAACAAACTATTTCTCTTCAAATTCTAAGAAAACCCTTTTGATTTCTCCATCAACACTTTGAAATCTAATCATAGAATGGCCAGCGAATCAAAGCAATCAGTTCATGACTTCACTGTTAAGGTCAGTTTGTCGGTCTTTTTTTCTTTTTCTTCTTCTTGAAACAAACAAAACGGTTGATTACTAACTGCTTAATACCATGGTCTCACAAGAAAACTAAATCCAAAATATATGGGAATGGGATTGTCCTTTAACCAACTCCGAGAAGTTTCTTTGTTTCACTGGTAAATCCCTGGAAAACAATTGGCATACCGAAGGCCTCAAATGAAGCTTATATAGTGCAATACTTTTTATAATGAGGTTCGCCATTATTTCTGGTGGGCTGAGTCCTTTGAGAGATATAATAGTTGATGATCCTAGCATAAGCTATGTTAGATAATGATATTTTTGCTAGTAGGGATTATTTTATTATTTGATAGCGAAATTCATGATAAATTCTGTTGTTTTATATTTTTGCAGGACGCAAGGGGAAACATTGTTGATCTTAGCATTTATAAAGGAAAGGTCCTCTTGATTGTCAATGTTGCATCACAGTGGTATGCTTTAACTCTTGTATACATTGAATTTACATCAAACTTATAATGTCTCACTCTCAATTTTTATTAATATTTTGTTGTTTTATATATAAAAAATGCTCCTGAAAAGCTTTATTTGGAGTTAATGTCTAAATGCTTCTAGAGCATTCCCTTTCAACATGCCTCTTCCTTGTATGTTAAATTTATAACTTAAAACTTTTTAATGCAGTGGCTTGACCAATTCCAACTATACAGAGCTGAGTCAGTTTTACCAGAAATACAGAGATCAAGGTGTGCTTTTGTACCCTTTCTAACTTTATGGTGTCTTGAAGGTTATAGACAAGATCACATGAATAAAACTTGTATATCTCAGACTTTCTATACTTTCCTCTGCAAAATGCAGGGGGAAAATACTTCAATATATACCTAGGTCACTTTGCTTTAATAATTCAATCCTTTTCTTCAGTTTTTCCCTTATCACTGTCTTTGTGCAGGCCTGGAAATTCTAGCATTTCCCTGTAACCAGTTTGGAGCTCAGGAACCTGGAAGCAATGAAGAGATCGTGGAATTTGCTTGCACTCGCTTTAAGGCTGAGTATCCCATATTTGACAAGGTACTTGTTCAGTAATTTAACAAAATTATAGATGAAAATGCACGTGATTCATCTTTCAGCCCCGAGGTGTTCAAAAGTGTACTATGACTCTATGGTAGTTTTTCCTAACTAGTTTGAGCTTTTGCACAACATTTGATTTCATACAAGGGAAGAACATAGATGGTTGGACTTGTACATATTTTGATATTGTATCTTAATTAATTTGCAATTTAGCTGTGCAATCGTTTGACCACTCCCTAAAAAATCAGACCACAACACTTTTTCATTGCCTACTGCAAACTAATAAGGATGGAGAATGTGATCAATCTAGAATCTAACATTTTTGTCTATTTTGATACACAGGTGGATGTGAATGGTGAGAGTGCTGCTCCTATATACAAGTTCCTGAAGTCGAGCAAAAGTGAAGACAATATCAAATGGAATTTTTCCAAGTTCTTGGTTGACAAAGATGGGAATGTTGTTAATCATTATGACCCAACTACTAACCCTTCTAGCTTTGAGGTAACACCCACTTCGGCAGTCACCACCACATTTCCAGTTTATGATCGATTTTATCTTTGGTTAGTTCTTACTTATTCGGTATCTTTGTGTGTGTTTGTTTTCCTTTGCAGAATGATATAAAGGAACTCCTGGGAGTTGCATAGAGGATCAGTGGTGCTGCTTGCTGTACGAAATATATAAGAGTGTTATGATGAATAAGGGCTTTCATGGAACGTGAGCTTTGTTTCCTTTTCCTATAGATATACTGGTGTATGTATAAGTTGGACAGTGCTTCTTGGGACTGAGAGAGTTGGTTTTGCTTTGTTTTTGCTTTGCTTTGGGAGTCTCAGTAACATTACAGGGTACCGTAATATATAAGATTAAAGTTTTACTTTTGTAATACAATTATGTGATCATAATCATTGTATATCTAGTTACATTTGCTTTTATAATCAAATTTAAATGCTTGATCTGAATGTTGGAAAGATATATGAGGCTAATGCTTTTTTCTGAACCATATATCCATGTTAGTGTCTGGGGAATATCCCAATTGGGAATTGAAAATGATTTCCTGCAAATAAACTTCCTCGTGTCATCTGTTCTGGACTCAGTAGAGCAGCATAGATGGCATGTCGTCCTATGAAAATCCTTATAGAAAGTTTGAGGAAATACGATGCTATCTGACAAAGTGACAAGAAAACATATAAGCTGCATGTCAGTTAACATATCTTGCCATGGCGGCATTGGCACAGAATCTCCAACTGAACTATGAACAATGAAGAATGTTGGAGGCAATATCACGTTTTCAGTTTCCAAATTGAAAGCACTCCCACTCCACTGTTAGGCTAAAACGTATACAGTCGGAAGGGAGTCACCAAAAACGCATTTCTTGTCAACGAAAGTATTCACTAGTAGATATAGAAAGAAAATATGATAACTCAATCACCTACTACGTAGGTCTCAACTCTTCATAACATAAGAAAACATTGGTCACAGTGCACAATCCAAACTAAAATACTAGAAGAGTATTTAACTTGATTTTAGAATAAATACAAACGTGAGTCTGAATCATGCGACATTACTTCTCACCAATCTTGAACACACACAAACATGTACAAAAGGCAAGAAACCATCAGGTTATTAAATTTTGCTACAATCCTGATGGTCTTCATCTCAGTATTTATGAAATGCCCAACAGCTTCTTAATGTCATGCTGCAATATTTATAGAAGATAAGAGAATTAAATGACATTATAAGTGGCAATTAGCCAATTACTTGCTCTCAAACAAAAGAGAGCCAAGAAAAGCTTTCAAGAACCAGATAACTTGCAAGAGAAAGAATTACCTCAAGACTAAGAGGAGAAGTTGTCGGGTAGTAACGATCAACAACTTGACCATTTTTATCCACCAGGAACTTGGCAAAGTTCCACTGAATATCATCCCCAAAAATACCCCATTTACCCTTCTTTAAGAACGTGTACAGTGGAAAAGCATACTCACCATTTACATCAATCTAATACAAAACCGGCAAGTTATGTAGATGGTTATGATAAGCACAAGAAAGTTATAATGAAATAAAAATAGTTTAACATGTTCAACACTGGAATGGCAGTTAACGCCAAAAAGAAAAATCTCAAAGCTGTAGTTAGAAAACTAAAACACAAAACAAAAAAAAGGTCAATTAGCAGTTATATGTTATCTTTCCTATGATGATAACCACCATAACACCAAACAGTCAAGGTGCACAAAGAGCAAAGAAGATTCAGCATGTCTCTACCTTATCAAAGATAGGAAATTCTGATTTAAAGCGAGTGCAGACAAACTCCATAATCTGATCATTACTGCCTGGTTCCTCCTCCCCAAATTGATTGCATGGAAATGCCAGAATCTCTAGGCCTGTGCATTCTTTCAAAAACAGATTATACATATGATAAATACATATCCAGTAAAAGCAAAACAAATTAATTGCAATTTCAGTGCAGACCTTGATTTTTGTACTTCTCATGTAATTGATTCAGTTCTGTGTAATTTGAGTTGGTCATTCCACTGCAAATAACAAGGATGATTCAAAATATATATGGCAAAGATACGAAGAAGATAATGCCTAGACTGTACACTTAATAAACAACAGATTCATTTCATAATCTCCTTAATCACAAATCCAAAGTAGATAACAATGATAATGAAAGCAGGGGCCGTATATACCATTTTGAAGCAACATTGACTATGAGTAGGACTTTTCCTTTGTATGTGCTAAGATCTACATCATGGCCACTGGCATCCTGCGAATGAAAAGATGTACAAAAATTGGTCACAGAAAACATTAGTTAAATGCAATTTGGTACATGCTTATCCATTCAACAGAATAACTCTTTACCAAAAGAGTTTAAACTTGAGCAGAGATGATATGAACAAATCCCTACTGCTCGAAAGGGCTCCAACCACAAACAAAATAAAATTGAAAAAGAATCTAAGATTAGCATAAAACTATTAAACACGGGAACTCTAGTCTTCAGCTAGTGATACAAACAACTAGTCTTCAGCTAGTGATACAAACAAAACTTGATAATGGTTTCAATTAACAAGCTCCAGTTTTCATATCGCCTTTAAGTATTATCTTTAGCATTATTGTATATCAAAGAAGAGTAAAAGAAAACATAAATTTGCAGGCAACGTGAAATATTTCTAGTCCACAAGCTAAAAGTAAAGTACTTCAACAAAATAAGCTTCTTTCCATGAGTTTACATAAAATAAAAAAATAAAAGGAAGTTATCTTAAATAAAGGTATCAATGTGGGTAGAAGAAACAGACCTTAACAGTGAAGTCATAAATTGATTCTGGGTTCTTTATAGATTGGTCTGCCATCCTGTAATCTGCACTGCAATATAGAAAAAAGGAAAGGGTGGTGAACGCTGAACAGAGATTACAATTGAAGAAGCAGAGAGACCAGGACACAACTGTAGAGGGAAATACTACTAGAGAGAATCATGAAACTTGTCTTTTGAGTTTTAAGCTATTATCTACTTACACGTGTTCAGTCTTCAACTCTCGTCTATTGACTTCTACTTTAGTTCTGCAGGCTTGGTCAAGTTCTGTTGCGGGCCGTGGCTTTGGAAATGAGTCAGAATTTGTAGGGGCTTAAGGAGTGGGTTACAGGAGAAGTACTATGGAAAGGAACCGGAATATTGACATTTTTAAGTTAATTAAGACATTAACTTGGGCACTCGATGAATGTCAATATTCTGCCTTCTGCTTCAGCAGTATTCAGTATTCACACTGTCTTCTGTTTTGGCGTACATGATCTGAGTATTCGGCAGTAAACGTAGGAATGTGATTAAAAGTTCTGTTTTAACCGGTGTTTTAATAACCAACCTTATGTAAAACCCGGCAAAGTTGCCGGAGTCCCGGTTTAAACAGTTTGACCGGCGGGTCAAAACAGTGACATCAACATGTCTAAAAGTTTAAAATTTAGCAAATACACTTTTAAAACTTACACTTCTCTTAAGTCCCTATAAGTTTAAAATCCAACAAACACACCCCAAATACAAATCGGTAGTCGATTGATTGGCGATGCCAACACACCAAATACAATCCAAATCATTCTTTGAGTCATTTCCCAAAAAATTTACCCAAGATCTGGCCAAAATCGTCGACGTCAACAACTTAGGCCAATTCTCACCACCACCAACATCAACAACCCTCCACATCACCATGAAAATAATTCCCTCAACCTCTTGATCAAAACCCATCTCACCCCTCCTCTTGTTCGGCCCACCAATCACCGACTAAAGGCCATTGTTACCATCTCAAAACTTTTGCATTTTCTACTCGTTTCACTCACCAGAAATGACCTCTGTCACCACCTTTCAACTTTCAACTCACTGAAACTTCCACTTCAAAACCCCCAACGGCCCAACATCCTACCACTGTCGCTCACCAATCGCAAATTGCAAATCTAAGGTTTTGGTGAATAGTGAAATTGGGTACTTAGCAGTTAGCCCTACAAAAGCTTTGGGTCCCAATTAAACCGGCCGGTCAGACCAAGTTTTAACCTTAACCAAGCCTCACTCACTCAACCTCTCAGATTTCAAGCAATCCATGAGTCTTGATATTTAGTACCCTGTCAATAAGACTCTTTTAATTACATGAACAGATATTGCTTGATTACAAGTTCTTTTAGAGCATCAAATTTACCTCTTTCTTTTGCAATTAATTTTACATATATTCTCAATATCCATGCAAAAGCTAGCTTTATCTGTGCCATAACATTATTTTATACCCTGCAAATCCTTGGGAGATGAATGAAGGAGTATGGCCAGAACTTTAACGTAAAAATGGAAATAAGAAATAGATACAACATAATCTAGGGGCCAAGAGCAAACAGTGGTTAACAATGAAGACAACAGACTTTTCCTCTCCTAAACATCTTTAACTCCAATCTGCTAAAAGAATTTCAACAAGTTCTCACTGTTATTTGAGAACCTAAAGATGGTGACTTTGTTACAAACTAAGTTAGCACAAACCCGGTACCCCTACTGGGCAAATAGGTTGGATTTCAGAAGTTCATAGATTTCACAGGTTCAGTACATTTACAACAACACATATGTACAAATCACCATGTGTTTGTCGCAGCAAATTATCATCAACGCGTCAAGTCAATATCAGTATGGGGGTTTCTCAAATCAACGAGTCGAGAACCAGGCCAGACATTGATTGCAGGGGAGGAGAAATTTTGAGAGACAGGTGCACGAATTGGGGTAGCTGATTTATTACTAAGCTGGGGTGTAGAATTCATATCACTTTCAGGCATGGCTATTTGTTTGTTCTTGGTCTTAGAACCACCATATACAAAACTGCATACTACCACCTGCAGCAAGCAATGTTTATCATGCATTAGACAATTGAGATCATGGACTTGCAAATAACTTTTTAACTCCACATGCATGCACACAAATAACACATCCCTTGTTAACATGCACATTTGAGACGTCCACAAACCCAATCATATATTACTATCCTTTCCAAACTAAACAAATTACACCATATGGCATGTGCACAAATGCATTCCCAAAAGGCAGGAATTTCCAAGCTACCAAACTATACAATGAAGATAATTGCTTATTTGTTTGAGACCTTCAATATCATTTTACTGGTAGCAAGCAAAATGAGTTTAGCAAGACAAAAAACGAGAGGATCAAAGCAGACACCCTAAATTGATGGGTCTCAAACATATGGATTTTAAATTCAAAATTAAAGATGGGAAGTAGGCATATTACTGTAATGGTAGCAATAAGGAATACAATATAGTCCTTTAAAGAGCAATTAAATTACCTGAACAATGCTGGCAGCAATAAGCACTGCAACTCCACCACCAAACACATGACCATCAGGACTAGAAAGGGAAGCACTTACACCACCAGTTCGATTCCGAGGACCACCATCTTCAGCAATTAAATATGAACCTGACAAGCATAATATCTCGAAACGGCCCTACACAAGTGTAATAAATCAAATAAGATCCTCCAAACTATTTAAAACATTGGCACCAAAAGAAGCAAAAAGAAAAGCGCAGAAGCAGAAAAGGACCAAGGAACATATGAAGTACTGTTAAACATATTGACAATAGTAACCACCATTTGACCCAACTCTTACTTTAAGAAAGGAATGTCCACAGTTTTAGTAGCCAAAGCAATGGACTACAAATATACAATCACTCAATCTAGGGTTTTAACTAAATCCCATTTTACCAAAAGGCAACCCTCAGCAACTTCCTAAATTAATCTAGATTACATATCCAGGATAAATATGATGATTATCCAACTGCTCTCATCAAAATTGACTGACGTTAGCCACACCCTACTGATCTCTATTTGCCCATTTCTACCTTCAAACGAACCCTTGTTCCACTCAAAATCACCATAATTGGCAAGCCATTTAAATCTGCAGCAGCATTGCCAACATGATTTCACCAAAATAATAAATAAAATGTAGTATTGCACTTATATGATTGCCTTGAGTTACAATTAAGATGGAAAACAAAATGTTGCCTTCATATCATAATTTCTTAAACAAAATTTCATGAACCCCAAAAAAAAAAAATGTTTCTGGTGAAAGAAAAATATAAGAATGCTTCAACCTCATAAGTCCCATTTCGCACTGAAAATGCAGGCTGGCGTAGTGTTACTGATGAAACAGTACCACTCCCAGACAAGATGCACACAGCCCTTGGCCTCTGCTGTGAAAAGATAATACTTTTGCTACAATGTCCTTTAAGAAAATAAACATTAGCTGTTGTAGACAATCATTTCAAACCACTAACAGTCTGTTTGGTTGTTCTATTCCATTGCCAAAAAAGCTTATTTAAGGTATAAAAACTTCTGATATATTTTTAGATTGTTTATCAAATCTCAAAAGTGCTTATAGAATTTTAAATAAGCTATTCATGTCTATTCTTTTTAGCTTATTTAAAGTATTGAAATTTCAAAAACATCCTTTATCTTTATAAATTTGACTTATAAAGTCTTTTTGGTAATTTATACTTGAAAATTCTTTCACATTTTTCTAACCAAACATTACTAATTTTTTATAAAGCTACATTTTCATAAGCTTCACTCTGATAAGCTCTACTCGAATAAGCCATACCAAATAGACCCTAGGTATGAAGCTAACTATGAGAACTTTCCTTATGCATTTTTTTTTCTGATAGGATTACCATTACAGATTTTTCAACACTATTTCTAGACTAGACAGAGTTCAAGCAATGAAATACAACATTATAGGCTCTAATGGACAGTATCACAAGAAAGATCCGTAAACAACCAGTGGATTCACATGATTGATATGTAGTATAATTACTTTATTTATCTTTTATCAATCCATAGTTTCATTGATATGAATGAGCCCAGGTATCAATGGTGCTACACATAATATCCACTGTATTAACTAAATAAAGCTAAAATTATACAAAGTATTTAGCCATCTTTTTTAATACAAGAGAACCTCACGAATTTTAAAGCTATTTTAAAGGACCCACAAATGAAGGCCATCTATGTAGCTTAAAAAGTATGTCCTGTGAAGGAAAAAATTCAAGTTTACACTTTTTCAAAGCAACCAAGCCACATCAAATAGATGTGTATAAACTCAGGCAACCTTGAACTCAAATAGGAAGCCAGTAAACACAAAGTGCAAGAGCATCATTATAAAATCTTGAAGTAATGGTGTATACCTCTCCAGCTCCAACAGAGATCACATGTGGTGCAAAAGCCAGTCCTGCGAGAAGTGTTCATCCAGTCACTAACAGAAACATTAAAAAATTAGACTAGAAAAAAAAAAAAAAGGTTCAGCAACGCCCAAAATTTATGTATAACAAGAAGAGGTACAAGATATCCAGGATTCTCAACTCATTAAGTAGAGGGCATACTTAATCGGAATACAATTAAAAATTGTGAAATCTTTTCCTTCAGTATTCCACAACAAACATAAAGCACACATCGCAATTCAGTGGTGCAAATATCAAGCAAGTTCAAGTGCTGAAATTGTGACTTCTATATTCCAAAAATTACAACCAGATTAAACACTTAATTGATTTGAACCAAATGTGATCTTTTTCTGGCTCTTTGTCGGCGAAATAATGCAGTCACTTACAAAAACCGGATGCTAAAAGAAGGTGACCTTAACAAGAAGTGGTCTGCATAAGTGCACCAAAACATACTATAACAATTAGTTGACTTTAAATTGTGAAACATATGATAAAATGTTGCATATCAACATAATGCTTGCAACATATAAATTAAGATCACAGAACAGCCTCTTCAAAAACATCAAACTAGTAGCCCTTATTCATCACTAAACAGCTACATTGCATGCAGAAAATATATTATAATCTGTGAATAGCTTATAAAATGTATAGAAACGAATAATTCCAGCCTAAGTGTCTAAGCTACA